TTTGAACCCCCAGCCTTCTGGTTAGCAGTCAAGTGCCTTAAGCACTATGCCACCAGAGCCCCTGTTAAGTAAGATAGCACCTGTTAACTACCTCATAACTCTGTAACCAAGGTGAAAACCAAAACACTAAACCTACTGCCATCAAACTGATACCAACTCATAGTGATCAACCTTGTAAGAGTAGAACTGCTCCATAGGTTTTCCAAGGCTATAAATTTACAGAAGCTGACTTCCTCAACTTTCACAGGGTGGCTGGTGGGTTCAAACCGCCCACTTTTTGATTAGCAGCTGGATGCTTCAGCCACTGCAGCACCACCAGCCACCAATTAACCAAATTTCAGTTATGATTTCCTCACTCCCTCCAAATTAGACTTCATTCACTGAAATTTTTACTTCATTCCTGTTGACTGTAAATCCTAAAAGCATAAACTGTTACCTTAAGGTAAGGGGAAAGGCAGGCTGCAGCTGTAACAGAACACTGACTCAATCATCACTGTTACAATGTCTTGTTCAACAAGCCTCAAGATATAACAAACCTGCAGAATGTAATAAACCTCAGGATGTATTTGATGTTAAAAAGTTTAAGATCATACAAACCCTTGTAACTTCTGCCATGCTTCCCCCTTCCCTTTCTGTGCCTAGCATACTGCTACTGTTTGTTTCACCTGATAAAAACTACTCTCTCTGCAACTGGGAACACTCTTCAGCCTCTGCCTGGGTGCTCGTGTGTATCCCCATTTCATGAAATGTTTTGTTTTTACATCCTTCAATAAAACTCTATATCCTACTGGAGCCTAAGTCTGGTGTATTTTTACTAAGACGATGAAAAGCAAAGGATAACCAAATGATAAAATTACATCACAGGGCATTTTAAAGAGAGAATCATAAAATCAACATTTGAATCCTTACTCTAGTGTAAAAAACATTATGTTTGTTATATAATATGTTATGTAATTAAGCAGTAAGGATAATTCACTTATTTTTGGTCTTGAAATACATTTTTCCAGTTTATATTTAAATATGGGAATTCCTGATCATCAGCATATTAAAATTTTTGAAAAAAGTCAAGATTTATTTTGTAGTACAGCTTCCCAACATGTTAATGATGTATTCTTAACCGTAAACTAAAAGATGACATTATCACTTTGCAAAACAAATTTTTTAAAAATAAGTTTATGTTTACTGGCCAATTATTTTTCAAATCTCATAGATAGAATAGAGCTGATTTAGCATTGGGGAAATGCTAATGTTTTTCGTATGAAGAATGAATCTCCGTCTAGCTTTCATACATTACGAATGATACATCTTTCCTTCCTAAACCAAGACAAAGACTCAATATCTAAAAATTCAACTTCCTAAAAATAGATGTGTCAGGTGATGACTGACAAAGCAATTTTCTAGAGTGGTTTAAATACCAAGTTTCTCAGAACAGTATTTTACAAACGACTTGAGATGCATAAATATATCCAAAGCATACAAAGTCAGGCACACCAGAGCACAGGCACTGCAGTCAAAGATTAGACAGGAAACACTGCATGGTTTATTGATCACATTAGTGGAGGCAAGCTGCTAGTCAAATATTCAGTTCCGGGCACATTAAATAGCTGGTGAGTTCACTCTCTGGAGGGCTTTGAATAACAGTGACTGAAACTAGATGGAGTCAGTAACAGAAAGCTAGTTTAGTTTTGCTGCATGCTTAAGAATTAAGTGAATGGAACTCTACAGTCAAATTAAGTCAGAGAAAGTAATTCAAATAAAAGAGATATTAACATAGGAATTATGGAGGAGTTTCCTTACTCCTACTGTTGTTGCCCATCTTTTAACATTTATGTAACTTTTCATACGACTGAGGCTCTAAACGGTAATGCTTGTGTTTTCATCTTTAATACAATACCAGTCGTCTGCACGGCACACAATAGAGATATAATGAATATAATTCATATAATTTTTATTGTTTGTGCATTATAACTATGAACAAAATCTTGCCTTTGACCTCAACAGATATTTTGAGGCCCATAAAATCTAAACCCCGAGCACAACCAGGCCAAATATTAATTTTTCTTTCTTTAAATGGAGAAGTGGTGATTCACTTTTTCAAATGATTTTTTTTTTTTTTTTTTGACTAGATAAACACGCTGGGTTATACTCACCGATTTCCTCTGATTCTTGTCCACAGGCTCTAAGCTTGCATTCTTTTGGGTAGTATTTTTGAATCGTCTCCCACAGTTCCATATTGACAAGAGAATTTCTTCGAGTATGGTACCGGGTCCACGAAGAGACGCGGCGGCGACAGAAAGGACAGCATAAATTTGCCTTTTCAACAGTAGACTGGAAGCACGGATTACAGAGTGTATGGTTACAAGGGAGGGTTACGGGTTCGATTAGGATTTCCACGCAGATCCGGCACTGGCATTCCGACAAGGAAGGGATGGCGTCTTTAGATACAGCCATTTTAATATGCTATGACTACTCAGCATCAACACCTGAAAGAAAAGCAATCGTATTTTCGGCCACTACAGAAAAACAGTGTTGTGCTTGAATATTATGCCCAGCAGCGTATCAGAATTCAAAGATTAGGAGCATCAAACGTAGCAAAAAAGCTGCGACAAAACAGTAATACCCTGGGCAGTGATGCATTAGTCCATTTTCAAGACAAATGTCAGGTAAGAAAAGAACATTTTCGTCGTTGCGGCAGGGCTGACGGTGGGCTTTGGTTCCCCTGGGCGGCTGGAGGTACTCGCCAAACTTCCCTCCCCCCTCTTACCAGGTGAGGGTGCTCCCTCTTAGCTCTGAGCATCCGTGCCCGACGCTGCCAAGGCGCGAAGATACCAGGTCACTGCTCCATGCAGAACAGTTTCCGCCCGGATACCGTGCTCCAGTTGGAGCTGGACTTCCGTTTTACCGTTGCTAAGGTGGCAAAGCACGAGCTCCAGAGTTCCAGCTCTCCAGAACTTCGCGCCGTTTCTGGCCGCTCCGTGCCCCGCCCCTCCCCTCTCTTTTTGAGAGCCAAAAAGCCTATTTGTTGCCCAGTGCCGTAGGAACCCAACGAGGGCTAGTGACGTCTCAACCGCCCGCCAAAAGGTCACCTCCCAGCCACGAAACAGAAAACTGTGGCTCCTAAAACGTCGTCGGGTGGGACTTCCGGTACTGCGCGCGTAGGGCGGCCCCGCCCCGCCTCCGGGCTCTGACGGGACGCTGTTACCGCTCCTCCCCAAGACGCACAGCTCTCTGAGGGAATCCAATGGTTGGAAGCTCTTTCTGGTTGGGTTGGGAGGGTAGCGCCCTCAGAGTTTTGTGCTACCTGAGATTGCAGAAGCCCCGGGACGTTGAGAGATTATTCTCTGGGAAGGAAAGAGGAATTACTCGAACAGTAATTTTTATTTTATTCTTCCCTCAGTAGTCATCAGGCTACTTTGTTCATTTGTAACTAAGCCCCATAGCCCGCTTCTTTGAAAAATATTTCCAAGAGTGTAGTCTGAGAATCTGCAGACTGTGACAATATAGCAGGCACATGGTCTTACTTCTGTAGCCTAGCGTCTTAAAAGTTTGCTGCCCAGAGATGGGTCGTTTTTTAATTGCGTTCCCTCCTAATGGCTTTAGGACCATCTGCTTGGGAGACAAACTGTGGGACTGCCTCGGTCCTGGGGCTTAGCGGTGTCATGTGCATCATTTAAAATTCACTATTAAATTTCAATCTAGAACAGTTAGCATTTTAAAGGAGGCTAACGAGAAAATAGTTTAATATTTATTATTACAGTTTGAGTAAATTTTTCCACTTTGGCACTAAGTTTTTGAACTGACAACTAATTCTACAGAACTGAGTTCTATGAAAAAAGCAAATTTCAGCAGAGTAATAAGGAGAATAAAGAGTGTAATACCTAGTATGGAAGAACCAGGCCTAAGTTTTCTTTTTGTTGTTGTTTTAATTTATGGGTGATTTTATTTATACTTTTTTTCTTAAAAAATTGTGATTTGGGTGAAAGTTTACGGAACAAATGGGTTTTCCATTCAATAAATGTTGCTGTTGTTGTTGTTATGTGCCGTCGAGTCAGCCCTGACTCATAGTGACCCCTCCTTGGGTTTCTGAGGCAGTATCACTACGGAAGTAGATTGCCCAACCTTCCTTCCAAGGAGTGGCTGGTGGGCTTGAACCACCAGCCTTCTGGTTAGCAGTCAAGTGCCTTAGCCACTATACTACCAGAGCTCTGTTAGGTACTGTCAAATCGATTCTGACTCATAGGGACCCTATATTCAACAGACACTGCCTGGTACTATGCACCCTCACAATCCTTACTATACCTGAGCCCGTGGTTGCAGCCACTGTGTCAATCCATCTTGTGGAGGCTCTTCTCTTTCTCGCTAACCCTCCACTTTACCAAGCACTTCTCCAGGGACTGTTCTCTTCTGACACATGACCAGAGTATCTGAGCCAACCAATAGTAAATAAGACTGCATGCACAACACTGAACCCAAGGCGATGCACCTACCTAGTCTTCAGAGATACACCCCTTGGAGTAATCGGCCATGGGGCACTGGAGGGGCAACATTCACAGAGGAAAACCCGGACAGACAGGAGTGCATAATTAAGAAGGGCACAGGGATGGGGGGAGGGTTTACTGGGAAGGGAGAGGAGGAGAGTGGGTTAGGGTTGGGGATGGTAATTGGGGA